CCGATCATCTTAAGATCACTGAACTAGCCTGTAATAACCATGCTTCCATGTCTCAAAATTCCCTGACAGTTAATTTTTGGGGGGGAAAAATGCTAAATGATTTTCATGAAATAAAGAGTCTTTGTCTGTGCTGGGAGCCTTGTAATAATAGCTGCATCAGAAAATGTGTGTGTGCGCGGGATTAATAAATATTGATATTCCAGGTAACAGATGGTAGAGTTATTTACGATTCCAGTTAGAATCTTAGAAGAACTAGGGGAATTACAGTATTATAATATTTAATTCAACAGAACAAGTGCAGTCGATCGCCCTGATAATGAAAGAAGGAAGTACCTCTGAAACGTCGGGAAACTTCCTCGGACTGCAAGGTGCGTCATCCCAGAATAGTCATCTTGAGTTCAGCGTAGGGACAACAATTATTTCAACCTCAATTAGTTTCAGTAATAACACAAATTTGCACATAATATATGGACAAAAATAGGTGGACATGACGGCATCGATTACTGAAAGGCTATGGGGAACTCCAGCAAGGCTACTATTTACTTAAAATAAAACTATTATTAAAAACAAGTTTGCTGGACTACGAAATCCTGGGAAACCCGAAGTCTAGCGCCATTGCTCAATGTATAGCTTCTTGACACGTTCGTCTCATGGACCGGATTGGACTGTCTACATTACCAGAGGCCTCAGGGGAGCCAACACTTGTTCTGTCAGCGCAGTCCACGACTTCCGACAACCGGGATCAGTTCTCGGATGGGGCAGGCATTCTTATTCTCTTTCTTATAACTATGGTAATGGTCTATTGCACTTTATCCATCGTATGGTCCATGGATCGGGAATAGCTTGAAGCCTTTTTGAGACACCGTGTATATTATTTCGAAACTGTTAGAAGTCGCAACTAATTATGTTTGAATTTGAAGATTTCCGTCTTCTGGGTTGTTGCGCCGTGTAGACTGTATGACCTCTGAAACGTTGGTTAACATCGACCAGACTACACAGCGCAACAACCCAGAAGACAGAAATCTTCATACTCATCGCCCTGATGATGGAGGCAGTATGACCTCTGAAACGTTGGTTAACATCGACCAGACTACACAGCGCAACAACCCAGAAGACAGAAATCTTCATACTCATCGCCCTGATGATGGAGGCAGTATGACCTCTGAAACGTTGGTTAACATCGACCAGACTACACAGCGCAACAACCCAGAAGACAGAAATCTTCATACTCATCGCCCTGATGATGGAGGCAGTATGACCTCTGAAACGTTGGTTAACATCGACCAGACTACACAGCGCAACAACCCAGAAGACAGAAATCTTCATACTCATCGCCCTGATGATGGAGGCAGTATGACCTCTGAAACGTTGGTTAACATCGACCAGACTACACAGCGCAACAACCCAGAAGACAGAAATCTTCATACTCATCGCCCTGATGATGGAGGCAGTATGACCTCTGAAACGTTGGTTAACATCGACCAGACTACACAGCGCAACAACCCAGAAGACAGAAATCTTCATACTCATCGCCCTGATGATGGAGGCAGTATGACCTCTGAAACGTTGGTTAACATCGACCAGACTACACAGCGCAACAACCCAGAAGACAGAAATCTTCATACTCATCGCCCTGATGATGGAGGCAGTATGACCTCTGAAACGTTGGTTAACATCGACCAGACTACACAGCGCAACAACCCAGAAGACAGAAATCTTCATACTCATCGCCCTGATGATGGAGGCAGTATGACCTCTGAAACGTTGGTTAACATCGACCAGACTACACAGCGCAATAACCCAGAAGACGGATATCTTCATACTCACCGCTGTGAGAACCTCAAGTCTTACATGTTTGAATTTTCTTTAAATACGAATATTACTCGGTATTTCCCGTGCCTGAAACTAAAATTAGTGGCAGGAGACCTACAGGTAGTCCATTGGCTTGAAAACTATGCGGATAGCGAAATGTGTAAGCTGAAGATGCATTTTTCGTTCACTGATTCACTCTTAAGAAATTACGGTCACTTTTCGCCCGCTACGCTAACCACCGAGATAATCACAATCTTGTAACCATGACAACTCGCCGATAAGTAAATATATTTTACAGGACTTCAAATTATAATAACATAACACCGTGTGGACTTGTAGGGAGATACCAACGTTTCGGAGAAACATACTGTCTCCATCTTCGGGGCTTCAGCGACATCAAAAACAGTGATTGAATCAGGTAGGATATATAATGAAGCATGACCACCTGTGATCATATGAAATAAATTCGGAGTACAGACAGAACAAAGAAACTGGACCCCAGAGAGTGCAAACCTGTCTTCAGTAAAGAAAACTTCGTGAAGCATGAACAGTGGCGGCCGATCGGTTAACGCCATCGTCAGGGTGCGTGTGTTCTTGTGCTGATATTCCAGTCACAAGTCGAAGGAATTTTTGGAAGTCCCGGTTCTTGTAATATATTTTCTGCGTAAGTGGAACACGAGACATTAAAAAAAAAAACCTTTAAATTTCTAAAGAGTGGATTTCTCAAACCGTCATAGCCGGATTATACACATGTGACGTCACAAAACTGGGAGACAACTTTTTGTACTGTGGACCAGGCTTGTCCGTTTGTGAATACCTTGTCTCTGTGTGATTACAAAGATAAGAAACTACGAAAACTACGCGCTTGCACAAAAATCGAACCCCAGCGTTACAGTCTGACCTAAGCCGGCTTGTCGGAAATGTCACGAAATCTTTAACTGCGTAATCTAACCTTTGAATTATTCCACGGAAACCTGCCCGTGACCCTGAAATTTCGAACTCCGAATACAAAGCAGGTGCTGTGTAGTCAGAGGAGAGGATTCCCCCAGCGGCATGACCTACTTACGTGGCCGGTGACGTATCTCCTACTTCTCGGTAAGTTCCCCGTCCAAGAGTATACGTTCAGAGGGCAGACGACGTCATCGGCCAAATCGTTGAGCCACTCGCGAGACAAGATCTGCTTGAACCTTTCGCTGTCTCATAGTCAATGCAGCATCCGATGAAACATGTTTCCTGGTAGAAGACTGCTACACAGCAGTCACTACTCCCAACACATCCTTTGCTCTCACGACATGGGACTTGCAACGCCATCAAATTTCTTTATTAGAGTGTTACTGCGCATTTAAATACAAATTATTATTTAATTTTTATACACTGCTTTGTTGGACTTTTCAGTAGTATTTTAGTTCCCCGGTTATTGACAGGCAATTTTCTAGTTTTTATCACAACTTGCAAAGGGCATTGGATTGTGCCCGTCTTCCTGCAAGAGATAAGACGGGTGTTAAATTGTGTTTGCAGATCCGAGCGCGGGAGTCGGATGCTCGGAATCTCCCTGGGGAAGCTACGCTTCTGCTGGACCAGCGCCCTACCCTTCATACTCACCCCTACAGCCGTCGTTCCCCTATTCCTGTAGCAGTGACCTGACCGGGTCAGTACCCGCCCCGACTTCAACACTAGACCCCACTTCAATGGGGCATCTGCCCACCGGTAAGTGTAATGTAGCCATTTCTTAATTTGGTTTTCTCCACAGAGTTAGAGACTTATTTTGGCGACCTTGAATTTGTTAGTCAGTCAGTCAGTCAGTAAACCTATGAGGCGATTGGACGATTTACCTCCTGTGTGTGTGTTCTGCACAGTGCTTTCGGAGCAATCGAGTGGGGGTGTTGGTAGCAGTGACTACAACGTGATGTTCTCGACGCCGCCACCCCACAAATTATCGCCACCGGGGCCAGATCTGGACAACATGTCTTGCAATAGCAGCAGCCTTTTGGGGGCCAGCGGGGCTTCAGGGGGTGGCCACCGATATCCGGCCTGCCCCGAACCCACTAACACAGCGACATCTGTATATAACACCACGCCTGGAGGTAAGTTTACAGATCACTCGAAAACTTTGTTTGGAAGGGTCTTGGTACGAATATTGATCTATGATGTTAACACATCTTCATATCTTACACGTCAAACAGATTTACAGTAGTGGGGAAAATGTGCCAGATAAATTGTAAAACTCTGGGGCCGGATAAAAAGACAACGGCTTGCACGAAGCGGTCCGCGGGCCGAACATTGCTGACACCAGCCCTAAACAAAAACGCCATCCTTCCAAAGACTCATCTCAAACAAACCATTAAAGCAGCAGCTGAATCACCATGCGCTCCGAAAATCATCTCGCTTCTAAAAGCGAAGATTGCAAATGTGATTTCAACCAAACACAGCATTAGCACAAATATAACTGTTCAGCGACATCAAAAACAGTGATTGAATCAGGTAGGATATATAATGAAGCATGACCACCTGTGATCATATGAAATAAATTCGGAGTACAGACAGAACAAAGAAACTGGACCCCAGAGAGTGCAAACCTGTCTTCAGTAAAGAAAACTTCGTGAAGCATGAACAGTGGCGGCCGATCGGTTAACGCCATCGTCAGGGTGCGTGTGTTCTTGTGCTGATATTCCAGTCACAAGTCGAAGGAATTTTTGGAAGTCCCGGTTCTTGTAATATATTTTCTGCGTAAGTGGAACACGAGACATTAAAAAAAAAAACCTTTAAATTTCTAAAGAGTGGATTTCTCAAACCGTCATAGCCGGATTATACACATGTGACGTCACAAAACTGGGAGACAACTTTTTGTACTGTGGACCAGGCTTGTCCGTTTGTGAATACCTTGTCTCTGTGTGATTACAAAGATAAGAAACTACGAAAACTACGCGCTTGCACAAAAATCGAACCCCAGCGTTACAGTCTGACCTAAGCCGGCTTGTCGGAAATGTCACGAAATCTTTAACTGCGTAATCTAACCTTTGAATTATTCCACGGAAACCTGCCCGTGACCCTGAAATTTCGAACTCCGAATACAAAGCAGGTGCTGTGTAGTCAGAGGAGAGGATTCCCCCAGCGGCATGACCTACTTACGTGGCCGGTGACGTATCTCCTACTTCTCGGTAAGTTCCCCGTCCAAGAGTATACGTTCAGAGGGCAGACGACGTCATCGGCCAAATCGTTGAGCCACTCGCGAGACAAGATCTGCTTGAACCTTTCGCTGTCTCATAGTCAATGCAGCATCCGATGAAACATGTTTCCTGGTAGAAGACTGCTACACAGCAGTCACTACTCCCAACACATCCTTTGCTCTCACGACATGGGACTTGCAACGCCATCAAATTTCTTTATTAGAGTGTTACTGCGCATTTAAATACAAATTATTATTTAATTTTTATACACTGCTTTGTTGGACTTTTCAGTAGTATTTTAGTTCCCCGGTTATTGACAGGCAATTTTCTAGTTTTTATCACAACTTGCAAAGGGCATTGGATTGTGCCCGTCTTCCTGCAAGAGATAAGACGGGTGTTAAATTGTGTTTGCAGATCCGAGCGCGGGAGTCGGATGCTCGGAATCTCCCTGGGGAAGCTACGCTTCTGCTGGACCAGCGCCCTACCCTTCATACTCACCCCTACAGCCGTCGTTCCCCTATTCCTGTAGCAGTGACCTGACCGGGTCAGTACCCGCCCCGACTTCAACACTAGACCCCACTTCAATGGGGCATCTGCCCACCGGTAAGTGTAATGTAGCCATTTCTTAATTTGGTTTTCTCCACAGAGTTAGAGACTTATTTTGGCGACCTTGAATTTGTTAGTCAGTCAGTCAGTCAGTAAACCTATGAGGCGATTGGACGATTTACCTCCTGTGTGTGTGTTCTGCACAGTGCTTTCGGAGCAATCGAGTGGGGGTGTTGGTAGCAGTGACTACAACGTGATGTTCTCGACGCCGCCACCCCACAAATTATCGCCACCGGGGCCAGATCTGGACAACATGTCTTGCAATAGCAGCAGCCTTTTGGGGGCCAGCGGGGCTTCAGGGGGTGGCCACCGATATCCGGCCTGCCCCGAACCCACTAACACAGCGACATCTGTATATAACACCACGCCTGGAGGTAAGTTTACAGATCACTCGAAAACTTTGTTTGGAAGGGTCTTGGTACGAATATTGATCTATGATGTTAACACATCTTCATATCTTACACGTCAAACAGATTTACAGTAGTGGGGAAAATGTGCCAGATAAATTGTAAAACTCTGGGGCCGGATAAAAAGACAACGGCTTGCACGAAGCGGTCCGCGGGCCGAACATTGCTGACACCAGCCCTAAACAAAAACGCCATCCTTCCAAAGACTCATCTCAAACAAACCATTAAAGCAGCAGCTGAATCACCATGCGCTCCGAAAATCATCTCGCTTCTAAAAGCGAAGATTGCAAATGTGATTTCAACCAAACACAGCATTAGCACAAATATAACTGTTTGTTTTTTTGTTTTAAGTAATACAAACAAGCACTACACATTCTGCATACGCCTAAGGGGTTGCGAACCACAAGTGGCAAACCCCGCTCTAGTTAAAGTGACTAAACAATAATTCGTCTCGTGGAAACATTATGACTCTGCAGGAAACAGAACGGCCAATATAAGAATCCGGGGCATTAGTCGTAACTCATGACGAATTCAGTATTACAACACTTCTTTTGTTTTAACAGCAGCGCCGGGTCTCAACTGCGGCGGAACGACGTATCACCATCCATCATCAGGTTCATGGAGTAGTCACCAGGCGCCAGCAGCATCTGTCAGCAACTTCCACCATCCACCCCACCACCCCAACAACTACCCCAATTATTACACCAATACTACAAGTAACCCCAGTGGGGGATCTAACCCAGGTCCCCCAGCCCCTCAAGGAGCCTCCACGTACCTCAGCAACCCCACCGCACCCCCCACGATGGTGTTCTATCCTCACCTTTACTCGACTGTAAACCAGAATCAGATCCACCTCCATCTCCACAGCAGTTCGTCGCCTAGCGACGTGCATGGGAGTTCGAAGTCAGGGTCGGTACTGGGGGACACACTGCAGTGTTACCACCACCAGGACGATGACACTACGTCTATAGTTGGTGGTGGTGTAAGTGGTAACAATGTCACGATAAGTTCGGCTGGATCACGAGGTGGGATAGAGATCGGTGTACTCCACCATCAGCATCAGATGCAGGGCACTGGCGTCGGCACCGGGGCGCAGGGCGACGAGCAAGGACTGTCCAGGTACTCGGGTGCGGGGCAACAAGGTGGCAGTGGGGGGAACACGGACAGGCAACAGACAGACCAGTCCGTCTGGCGCCCCTACTGATCAACGCGACATGACTCGAGGTTCAAACCCGACAACCATCACGCATTAAATGATCTCAATCACCACTGTGAGGATACATGATGACGTCAGACCGCATCTCTACAAAAAAAAAAACGCCCACGGAGCTACGTCATGAGGTCCTCTTAGGAGCACATACCAGAAGACGTTCGAGGCAAACACATACCTCATTGGAGCAGTTCTTCTTGAGAAGCGAATGGCAATTTAGCCGATCAAATCGCCTGTTTTTATGTAACCGGAAGGTCTATTACCGTTCTCACAGAAATCCGCCTCTGAACACGAACTATCCTGAGACAACTGAACCAATCCACGCCTTCACATCCTAATTCTTTAAATTCAGTTTTAATATTATCCTCCTGTTTACACCGAAATCTCCCAAGTGGCTTTTCCCTTAAAGTTTTCGGAGTACTCAGCGAATTAACAAATTCACACGTGTTATGTCCAGTAATAAAATATACGGCCCACTACTTAATGAAAATCTTTGAAGACGACGCAAAACGTATTACATTAATAATATAAAGCATGCCCCAGAAACGCCCTACTCTGTAAATGAATGCTAATATTTTTAACGAATTTTATACGGTAGGCCTTAGCAATATAATCAGCGTTTCTTTCTGTTTCGATGGATTCTAATTATATAAAACAGGGCAATGAATTTGATGAATCCATGTCAACAAGGTAAGAATTCCTGCGACACGCTGTATACAAGTGACGTCAAACATCTAAAGTTTAACCTATTTTGAAGATGGCTGTATTAATGGGATGTTGCACCGTGTAATCTGGTAGAAGTTGACCGACGTTTCAGAAGTCCTTGCTGACTCCATAAGATGAAGGCAGCAAGTTTACAGACGTTTCAGAGGACCTTGCTGACTCCATAAGATGATGGGCGCAGCAAGCACCGCTGAAACGTCGGTCAACTTCTACCAGATTACACGGTGCAACAACCCAGAAGACAGCCATCTCCAGACAAAAACCTCATATCCTATATAAAACTATTTTCTAATTCTATTAACTAACAACAGACATTTCATCTGTCAAAATAATGAAGGAGTTTCAGGCGGACCTAGATTCTATTTAGAATAAAATGTCCGAACAGGGCCACAGACCTAGTCCCCCGTTTCTACTTCCAAATAAATTAATTAAATAAACGTATTACGTAATTTTAGACACTTTGGGGTCTATAAAATTCGACGAGTCTGAACATTTTCAAATAAGCTTCAGTATTCGAAGAGTAGATACGTGGGAGAACAATCAACTCATCACCTATTTCCCAATTCCTTCCACATAAAGTGTTCTGGACCAAAATAAAACTTAGGTTCGTAATGGTTCACCAGACTTGCTTTGACTTATTACGACACAATTAAAATAGTTTATGAAACCTAATATTAACAGACAGCTCAATAGTAAGACAGCCCAGATAAAGTTGAGAAGCCAAGTCTATTGCATCAGATATCTTCTCGATATGTGAACACAGCAATTAGTTGTGTGAACTCCCGCTGAGAAGTTTATCCCAAAGAATTTAAGCCATGATGACGGATATCTTCTGGGCAGTTGCATGCTGCCTCCAACACCAACCTGATGATGGAGGCAAGAATCACTTCCGAAACGTCTGTAAACTTCTGCCAATCGTACATTTTTGCATTTTTATAGTAGTTCGGGGTTAAATAACACTAACAAATTACCTGACTACTACAGATTATATCATCGTGAACGGGAGAGATCCCCGCCGGGTGAGACCTGAGAAGACCAGGAGAACCTCAAATTTCAGTTTGCGCAATGTTTGCTACGCAAAAAGAACACTTAATGGTTGTGATTATTATGTGTGAATATTTTCCAAGACTTAGGGGATTTTCAAATTCTATACTCGGAGATGAAAGAGCAATGAGCAATGGTTGTTGTTTTGTGATTTCTGACGTCAAGTGTTATTCTCATCTCTTTTCAATTTTTAATTTACTTCTTAAAATTTAATTTCGCACAAGGACATTTTGCAAAACACATTCCAAACGTAACGCAGACACGAACGGTGACGGAGAGACACTTTTGTCAGTTCGAAGTTGTGACCTTACAAGTGTTCGTCGTCTGAAATCTCGAAGCTTCCGAGTTCCTGTGTCCTATGTTGTATTAATCATATTTGTACTGTGTTTAGTGCGTCTATTTTCATTTCTATTATTATACGAACAAATGCTTACTCGCTGTAATGTACCATGACACATTTCCAGTGACGGAAGAAAATACCACTACTCCAAAGTGTTTCCTATCTAGTTTTTTATTAAACAAATAAATTATGTTGAGATGTGTTTAAACCATGGTCTTTATTTCTTGGATTAAGTAAGACCTCATTCGAAAGAGTATCGACCTTTCTAGTTTCATTCTGAGCTCCCAGTCGAGTTCAGAGACGTTGAGAGTTGCTAAAAGCCGATGATATCTCCATATTCCGAAAAATAATTTCAGCAGTATAAAATGGTCCGAGATTTCATTATAGCACTTCTCTCTAGAGACATTCTAGCCCATTAATCATTAATATTTTAGAACCTATGGAGGGGCAAAGTAAAACCTCGAAGAACCTGTCAAAACTGATCTCTAGACCGAAATTAGAACCCGGAATAAAAAAGAATTAACCACTCGATCTCGCCGTTCGGTTTAATTTGGAGTAACTCACAAAAACCACGATATCGTTTCAGGATAGCTAGCCCCCGGGTCGAGATTTGAGCCTGGGACCTAGAGAATAAATAGAAGAGCTGACCAATCAACCGTGAGCCTCGATCTGATCCATATTACTCAACAGATTTCTATGAAATGTGGTACTGGAAATTTGGAGTACAGCTGTCGGGTAAATTTTGTTCAACCGTCCACACAACTCCCAAGTGTTTATTTATTAATGGCTCTATGAATGTAAATCATTATTTCTGGGCATCCCTGTCATACACTGTCACAGAATATAAGACACTAACAATTTTTATTTTTAGATCTTTACGAACACAACGAGAAAAAGTTAATATCCAACTGTAACAGCGAAACCGCATAGTAAAAGGAAATCAATATCTCTGAAGAGACAGAAATGGCAAACTGAAACAAAGCGATATGTGACA